AAATGGTTAGATAAACGACAGCTACAAATGACAGTGCAAAAAACCAAATCTGTCTTAATCACGAAACGCAGGGCCTTTCACTACCCAGATCTCCGATTGGGAGGGGAGAGAATCAACTGGAAGCGTCAGATAAGGTATTTAGGAGTTGAAATATACCATAGACTCAGCTTCGGGCCCCACATAAATTTGATGGCAGAGAAGGCGGCGAGGTCAGGAGCTAACATCGCAAGAACGCTACAGAACGTCGGTGGACCGAGAGAAGCCAAGAGAAGAATGATATTTGGCGTAGTTCACTCAGTTGTTGTAAGCTGCTCCAGCCTGGGTGGGTTCACTGGAGAAGCTGTCTATCAGACACAAGTCCGCCTAAGTATAAAGACGAATTGCCTTGAGGGTGACGTGTGCCTATCGCACAGTGTCTACTTGCGCAGCGCTGGTACTGGCCAGTACGCCACCTATCGACTTAATAGCCACGGAAAGAAAGAAGACGAACCTCGCCTTGAATGAAGCCCACGCAGACAGTCATCTCCCTCCCAAGCAAATTGAGAGTATTAAAGCAGAAGCAAGGAAGTTTTTCCTTGAAGAATGGCAAGGAAGATGGGATGGCGATGTCAAAGGCAGATGGACTCATCGGCTGATTACAAACATCGAGAGATAGGTTAGCCGAAGTTTTGGGGAGGTGGGTTATTACTTGTCCCAGACTCTTACGGGACATGGGGGATTTAATAAATACCTCTATGATTTCAGGATCGTAGAGAGGCCCACATGTAGTCTCTGTCACGCATCTCTTTGGGATGAATATGACTGGGCCTCGGAAGATAACGTATAGCATAGTTATAAACGCAACAATACGCCAATAATAATAATAATAATAATAATAATAATAATAATAATAATAATAATAATAAGTCTCCCAAAGTTCAGCCCTACGTCCGAGCAATTGAGAACTTAGCCACGTGGGAGACGGGTAACGTCAGAAAATTTGGCGGCAAACAGGGCGATAGCACACCCATATAGATATGGAGACACGGAATATGCGTCGTAGGGCCTCGGAGCCACCGCTGGAGGTGACAGCATGCGAGCCGGTGGTGATCAGGAGCTGAACAGGCGGGCCCTGATCGAGGATAACCCCGAATATACTACAGCCGAACATAGCAGCACCCATCCATCTTCACTTATAGCTGGACCTGCCGCAAGTGCTTCCCAGGGAAGCAATCTATTGCTTCCAGAGACCTCTGCCGCAGGCAGGCAACGCAAAAGAATGAAGTGGACTACAGAAATAAATACTTTCATCATGCATGAATACTACACCATTACCAAAATGGAGACTGACACTACGGTCTACCGACAAAAGTTACATCAAATATTTCATCACCGTTTCCCTGATTCTGAAGTTAGTGAGCAAAGAATAGCGGACCAGCGTCGAGCAATTGTTCAGAAAAATCTCCTCTCTGCACCAGTTTTGGAAGCAATCAAGGAAGAAGTGAGAAAAATGATTAACTCCTCAGAACCTAGTAATCTGAGGGGAGTGGAGATATCAGCCGTGCAAACTCAAGATGATAATGGGACAAGCATGTCAGAAAGTATGGATGATAAGAGTAGTGAAGAGGTGCAAATTCGCAATGAATTTGCAGTCGCACTTGCGGAATTTGAAGGAACTGACCCACTGAACCGCTATCTCATTTCCAGACAAAATTGCTCGAAGAAATTAGCAAGAGCAATCAGTGGTTGCATGACAATAACATCCCTGTAATGGACTGGCCTGCTCAGACTCCTGACTTGAATACTATCGAACACCTTTGGGATGTTTTGGAACGCCGACTTCGTGTCAGGTCTCACCAACGTACATCGATATCTCTCTTCAGTGCAGCAGTCCGTGAAGAATGGGTTGCCATTCCCCAAGAAACCTTCCGGCACCTGATTGAAAGTAAGGAGGCACTTAAATGGCCGTTGCTATGGACGCGCTCTTAATGTGTTCTTTAGATGGTTGGTTACTAAGGAGCTAAACGCATGTATACTGACGTTTATAACAAAAAAGGATTTATGAAACAATTGTTGAAAGAATTGCCCTATATGGTAGTGAGACATGGGAAGTAAATAAAAGACAATGCAGAAAATTACAAATTTTAGAAAACATTTTGTAATCTGTCGGATGGACACAATACCTGTAGCGCCCTCTCCGGGAAATTCCTTGGTACGCCGCTGGGTATTTCTATTTCTTTCTCTAAAAATGTATATGCATAATTTTCCTTTTATTTGCTGTAAAATTCCATTGATGATGGGATATATTCTCCTGAAAATTAGTTTTGGTTTAGTCAGTATTTATTTAATTAAATACAATTTATGCACAATTTTTCGTGATTTGATTATCTCTCCAACTCACAACCGTTTACAGTGGCATCTCCGGCTTAGGTTGCTTATAGGTTGCACAACGATTATTATTATTATTATTATTATTATTATTATTATTATTATTATTATTATTATGTTTATGATTATGTTTCTAAAACATGTTAAATTATGTAAAAACTATTGAACTGAGCAGAAATGTCTGTGAGTTAATACAATAAAAAAATAATAAAATTGATATATTTTCAAAAACAAGTATAAAATACTTTATAATTCAAGCCACAACTTCGTCAATATTATTTTTTATTTGTTTTATTTATTTAGTTAAAAACAATAAAAACTTTAGGTGACGTATAGGGGAGAAGATAATCTGCGCATGTTTTCTTGACTTCTAGAATACCTTTCCATCATTTTAACTATAAATAGTTAAAAGATGAGTACAAATTAAAGATAAAGAAATGAATAAAAATAAAATTTAAAAAAGCGCGAGATTAGTGACATTTGAAAAACTAGATATTTTCGTTCTTGAGTTATAGAAAACTTATTTGCAACGGTAAACGAACTGCAGTTTTTATTTTCTGCATTGTTAACAAAATAGTAACTCGCTCTTACCTCTACTCCTACCACTATAAGCAAAAAGAAAGTTCAACAAAACGTGCGCATAGTGAAGCTATTTTTACGTCTAGAAGCAAAAAAAAAAATGGTCACTTCAGCATGTGCTCAATGTATCAGGGAATCTGCTCAAAAACTGATCGAGATGGGGGTCATTGACACGGAAGCTAAAGTACATTATTCGTTACAAGCTTATTAAGTCTTTAAAAAAATGTACAACACAACTGTAAACTATTCATTATATATCACTGTTTTGCTAAATTAAACATTATTTTTCTTTTTGGTGATAAGTATAGTTTCTAATTGTATAGAAATAGTTATGCAGCAGAAAAGATTTTACTTTTAACTTAAATTTGTGTAAAATAGTTTAATGTCATCTGGCAATGCGTTGTAAAGTAACATACATGTATTGTATGTAGATTCCTGGTAGTGAGTTGTTGATACTGACACTAGATGGACACGATTTCTACGACGTGTGTTGTAATCATAGAAGGGACTGGACACTATTCATCTTTAATCATAATTCATTCCACACGCATACCCAAAATTCACATGTGTATTCGATCACACAACATACTAAAATTCGCGAATTTAATTTTGCGTTCAGAAGTACGGAAGACATGTTACGAATTAAGGAACTGAGGAGACCATTACTTGATCTCAAGTTACAAAAAACAAATCAATCGATGTAAAAACTTCTGAAAAACTTATAAGCTGGATATTTATAGGAGGAATAGCTGGTTATGCGGGTGTGAAGTTACAAATAAACTGTATTGTTACCCGGGTTTGATTTTTGATGAGAAGGATGTGGCATGGTCAAAAACTTGAGTAGATGATGCACTGCTGTTGATTTATCTGAATCATTAACAGGAGTTTTCCTGAAAGGTGTATAAAAGAGCTATTATTTGTCTTCCAAAAATAATTTATTTCAATTATAAGTATGTATTTTATGTCATAATCTCTATGATGATTATTTTTCAACTGACGTTTTTTGGGTTATTTAAGGTTGCACCAACATGTAGGTCATTAGCGACCACTATCGGATTTAACGTTATGGTTACTGTGAAGATCATGATGGGGTGATGATACGGGGTGAAAGGACGTACACAAATACAACTTTGCCTGAGGCGGGACTCAAACCAGCAATCCTTCCGTCCGAGATCGCTACGGTACTACCGTCTTTACGATGATTAACACCTGTGATTAAAAGCACGCGCGGCCACCACTGCTATGGTGAAAGCAATTGCAAATAAATTCAACTGTCTTTTGGAAAATGAAGCCAAATACTCAACTTCGAAAATTGTATCAGTAACACCGCAGTACATGTATTATACAAAAGCGCGGCTCCGCGCTAAATGCCCTATGACATGTTAGTCAACGACTCCAGCGATCCGCGCGGCGAACTAGGAACACTAGTTCCTTTCCCCATTTCACATTCCTAATACAGCTTCGTTATGGTAAATATGACCGAAAAGGGAATGTATTTTAATTTACTTATGCATATAACTAACAAAGCCTCGTGGCTAGCTCTTGGTCAGCGTGCTTATTCCACTACGCGGCCCGGGTTCGATTTCTAGTTATGCAAGATTATATGTACGTTTTCCTTGCAATGTCCCAGTATATGTTGCTGTGTGACAAGAAAATTTGCTTCTCAGTCTGAGAAGACCAGAATACGACGTGGGGATGTCTACGTCGTACCCCCTTAACCCATGGCCGCGAGGCAGGGACGTCGTCTTTAGGTCTGAGCCCGTTCACGGGCTGTCGCATCAGTACATACTACATACATAGATTTTGATTTATTCAGTCAAAAAAACAGTAAAAACTGTAAGTGACGTAGGGAGGAAAAGATAACTAAACCAAACATATAACTAAAACATGTGAAGTAGAAGTTTTGAACAGTTTTAAAAGAAAGAAATGGTTTAAATTAACGAATATTGCCCATCAAAATTGAATAGTGGGATCATGACGAAGAACAAGTATTTCATTTTCATGAAATTACATAGAAGTATAAGTAATCTAAGTAGTAAATAACGGTATTTAAGGTCCGAATAAAATTAGAACGTAGTTGACACTTGATGACACCAAATTCATTAGTTGGTGAAACTTTTAGTGCTTTCACATACATGATTGAACAATAAATTCAACAGTTATTTCAGAAATTGGTTCAAAGAAAAATTAAAAACAAATAAGGAATTAATCGCTAATATTTTTTAATAAATAATAGCCCTTATGATGACTGCAACAAATACATATTATTCAAACTTTGAATGACTATCTTCTCAAGAGTTGTTCCACAAAATTACCAGGGCAAATTTTAATTTGACCTGTGTTATGACAGATACAATCACCATTATACAACCTCCAACAAAAAAATCACAAATTGCCAAATTTGGTAGTGTTGGAAAATTCGAGGATGATAGAAGAGGAAGTGGCTTGGAGGTGCTTAAGATTAACTTCCTGACACAGAACTAATTCCATACATTGATAAGTTACAAAGTATTACAATGAGAAAGTGGGATCCAAATTGGTTTATTAGCAAGTGCTGTTACTGGTTTCTGATGCAACTTTATCAACAATTGGAAGTAATATGAAAAATAGATTAAATGAAAATGTGGACAAAACAAAAATATGAACTTTAAAATGACTATGCAACTACCTTTTCATTATGTATTAATTGATTTATCTCGACTCTTTAAAATAAATATGCAAAAAACAATGTGATAGATTTATGTGAATGTATACGAAAAATAAGTAACTCCAAAAACAATCAACAATTTGTTGAATATTCCCCTATGAAAAAAACTACATTTAAAAGTCATGTTGTACTGCTTGCTGTGTAAATTGGTCCAATTACATTCACTTTTATGGCATAGGAATATTTTAATTTCTGACATTTAAATTTCATTGTTGCAATAATTTGAACAATATGTTTACTTAACTTGTTCATAAATGATACTCATTCTGAATTGAACATTAAAAACAAAAAATTCTTCAAAATCCTTTTTCAATGCTGTCCAGCAAAGAACTTCTTTCTTTATTAGTTAGTTATTCATATAATAATAAAAAGTTATTCAAACGTATTAAAAACTGTCCAAATAATTAAGCGAGTATGAAATATCAGATTTATCGAGTGTTGATTGAATCACTATCAGACGCGTTATGTTTATGTGTCGTAGATTAACAGTTTTATACGGAATGTTCAAAGCACTCCATTTTGTATAAGATAGTGTTATCCTATGTAATCCTTATTTGCAGGGGCCCTCAAGATACACATTTCAAATGAAATTAAGAGCAAAAAACAACACTACCAGAATAAGATGGTAGAGTCTCCAGTAAATTGAGCATTTGCTTAAGAATGTTTCGTATTTACAAGACATGGCAGCATAAAGAAATTATCAGTGATGAGTAGACCTCAAGAAATTTCTGTAATACAGCCTGTTACCAATTGTGAAAAGGAGACCCCAGGATAAGAGCTCTTTCATTTACGAACAATCTACATACACCTGTTCAATACATTTGAAAAGTTCATTACTGTGATTTTGAGCCATTTTTTTCATTCTGTGTAAAGATTGAGTTTCAATTACTTCAATTTTTATTCATAACATTTCAAAATCACTTAACTAGACAGATTTCCACAATAAAACATAAGCACACATTTCCCACTATTGCCTTAGTGATGTAAAATTTTGACTGTGCTATTTTTCACTTCACACATACACGATTCTCTCATTATTTTAATACTTGGCATTTTGTGACAGAGGATCACTGCCCTGCTGTATTCTGCCAAATCCATGCCTAAACTCACTTACGTAAACAAAATAGCCTGTTCCACAAATAAAATCTCTCATATAAACTAATCTGCTGCTCAACTAATGTCATCAAGTTTTATATGTATTCATATTAATACTGAAATTGCACCAAAGTGCACATCTCTGCTTCATTCTGTGCTGAGCAACAGCCCTTGAAAGCAGATACTCATGCAATATCACTGAACAAATATTATAACATTACATTCATAATATGTAGGTGTCATTCATCTTCAATATGTTCCAATGATGTATATGAAATTAGATATCAAAAAATCTCCCTTAAATCACATATTCGTTTTTCCAATCACTGCTACTTTTCTTGGTATTTTTATCATTCACTGGTTTTAAAGGCTGACACACTCAAATTCTTGGTTTAGCAAGTTTTGAGGCAAGGAGACAAACAAAATAATTTCACATGAAAAATACAATTACTGCACTAGTTTAAATAAATGCAATAAATTAAATAACACAAAATTCTTCCGACAGACTCTCCTAAGTCTTTCCAAGCAATACCAAAAAAGTTTCAAATAGTCCAATTTCTTCAAACCAGAGCACAGGTTATATCTTATAAAAAATGTCTACTATACAACAAAAACTATTACATAAAAATTGAAGTCAACATTCCCCAAAGGAAGCTTGCACATCTAAGAAACAACTATCGCACACAATGTTGAATATTTGAAAAAGCTAGTACCACTTTCATTCACAAATGCATAGAACTTATTCAAGATGACTCACAGTAACGAGAGAAGCTTTTAAAAAACAACTATGAAAATACTAGTTGCACCCAGTCAGTATTGCCGCTACATAGGTAATTGGCTGCAGAAATATGATGAAAGATGTTAAAATAATCTGAATATAAATATGCTATTTGCAATGAACATACACACACCCATGCTTGCACGCACTCACATATGTCTTCTGGAATTTATCATTAAGAGATCAGAAAACCTGTTACTTTACAATACATACATTACAATTCGGTACAACTCCCAAAACGTAGGAATGGTAACCACAGTAAAATATTAAGATTATTTACAAGGAATAAGTATTTCATCTTTCATTGCTTCACAGATATTTTACATGTTTACCTGTTCTTCACCCGGTTCACTTCCAATTTTTGTTTCACTGAACTTTCTCTTTCTCACCTGCACAATTCTGCCACTTCCTGTGCATTTTTGAAAAACTTTCTTTACCTTTCTCTTAAATTTTCTTCACCTTACTTCTGCATTAATTTGAATATAAAATTCCTGCAGATGAAAAATAATGATAGCAAGAATCAAATAAATAAAATGAAGAGATTTTTTTTTATATGGAAATTTCTCCATAAAAACACAAAATAGTAACATGTATTAAACACAATTAAAATTCAAATAACATTGATTTCATTATTGATATTTGTAGTACAGGTAAAAATAACAATTATATAAAAAAATTTACATTTGCAAGAGTTCTAAGTATGCACATAGACATACCAATTGTACACAATTTATTGAATAATTTATGCATTCAATAAAACGTTGGTTTCTATAGAATGCATCAACAGCTTAAGTTATATTGCTTTAAACAGGATGATCAAGTGAGCTCAAGGTAGAAAATCACTCACTGAACCTTTTTCAACCAGTACTGAAAACTTTTATACTTCAAAAGCAACTCATTATCAATTCTTGAACACATCAATTTCCTCATCATTGTACTGATGCGGTTATTTCTAAAATATTTTTTAAAATGCATCTCATTTGTCCTCTTCAATTAAAGATTTCATGCACAGATACATCAGTTGTTTTATTCACCAAACAATTACATTTGAGACATGAACCTTTGTTGTTTGAAATGTCAATTTCATTTCATTAACCTAGGAATATTTTCCTCTGTATTCTCTTCCTCATATACCAATGCTTTCAGTCATAAATTGAAGAATTTAATAACATGTAAACCATTTTCATTCGCTTAAATAATCCCAGAAGTGTCCATGATCATGGAGATGGATTTAACAATATCTATTTTCAAATGAATTTTATTAAGAAAGTACCAATCTAAAGTTCATCTACTTCTGAATCTATGACAGACAAACGTTTAAGCATATCGCTGAATCTACTTAAAGACCATTTACACAAATCCTGCAAACAAGGTAACTGTGACATTAATTATCTTAACACAAAAATTTTCCCAACCATCATTAGATATACTTTGATTATTCCCTTCAAAATTAACCAATCATGGCTTAAAGGCCATTCAGTATAAATACATAGCAAAGTAGTTCGTGTACTGACAGGCATAATCACTAACCAAACAGATTTTCCATGAAATGGAGCTATACATTATAACTAAGAATTTAAAGCATTTTGCAATTTCATTTGAGAAATACAAAGCATGCTTTTAGTGAAAAACAAATTTCTCAACTTGCAAAAAGTATTTAAACACATACTGATGAATTTGTGACAAAAGACGTCATACAAGATGTTATCACAAGACGTTGCTACAATTTCAAAGTAAACGATAACCCCCACAAAATTCAATACTAATCCTTCAAAATTCGACCAAAATTCCTCAAAACATTCAAACTGTGATTAGGAAGACAAAATTTCAGGCACACTGATTTCATGCACAATCATGCATGTTATTAAATTACTTTAGAAATGCACTGACTGGTCTGATATCAGGAAACACAGAGCAGTTTTCATTGTAAATCATTTATTTTGAATTCTTCTGTTTTGTCTGGACAAACAAATGTTTGCTTTCTGGAATGAACACATTTTTAAGTTACGTGTGGTAATTATTTATTAATTGGCATGATGAAATCATGGTCATGTTTAGTACAGACACACTTCACTGTACTTAAGAGAGTATTACAATGATCATATCTTGGGTACATTAGCTCAATACAAAACTTATTGTCATTAAAGAAATACCGGGTGAAGAATGGTTTAAGTGGCTAATGTTTCATAATTGCCTATTCTTTGATGTGCAAGATCTTACAAAGAGGAAGGACAATCCGGCTTCACAATCAATACAATGACTATGATTTGCTGGAAATACCATCAGATTTTAGATCTTTTACGAGCAATTGCATCTTCAACAGCTTTTAATTGCTTCAATAATTCTTCCCTTCTTGAGGTGGCCTTCTTTTGGGTTGGTTTCGTTAGAGCAGCCATCTGTAACACATAAACAGTCTACTGATAATAACTTTTAGACACAAGTCAGGTTTCACACACTCACAGGATGCCTAACTCATCTTCTGGAACAAATTTCAATAACTTTCCCCAGTTTTCCACAGCACTTTTTTATTCTCCCTCCCCCATTAATAAGATTTGCAGAGTATTCACACTGTTGTTTTAAAAATATATTAAAACAAGCCTGATAGTAATGTCAGCTTTCTGATTCCATTGTTATAAAGCACAAATTATTAAAAAATCTCAACAAATAAAAATGTCACAATTTTTTCCTGAAGATATTTGGCTCACAAATAATATCTGGTTATAACCCCCCACCCCTGAAAATGTCATGTACTTCTAACGATTCAACATATTCCTTGACTTTTCTAGAGCAATGAAATTTCCTGAATTTTCCTCTTTTTTTCAGAAAGTGGCAATCATAACATAGGGTAATCAAATTATTGAACTAGAGATACGAGTAAGAAAAATTGATTTTTGATTAAAAATAAACAAGATAATTTGTACTACAAATATATGATATTTTGTGAACATGCCTTTATTCTTAATTAACCCAGGAGTGCCTGCAATAAGTAGACCGCACCAGTGACTGCAATGTATCTCTCGGATATAGATGCAACTTTTTGTGAATGCGAATGATCTAAAGCTCTACTTACAGAAATATGTATTTTATTTAGTTTACACATGTCCTCCAATGTCATCGTTAATGAATCATGCACTTCAGAATTCTTGTCTAAATACTATGCTTAGAAAGGTAAAAATTGACAAAGAACAAGCAAAAATCATTAGACATTTTAATGTCTTACTAAATAATATTAAATACAATTTCCACAAATTATTTTAGCATGTGCTAAACAAGCATATATTTTCCATTTTTCACAAAAATATTTAGAAAGTCTGTCATGTTTCAGTTTTGCAAGGTTTACATTTTTTTTTCATTTCCTTACAGACGTCCCCTGCACATCATCTTTCTCTGAGGTTAGAAATAGTGACAGTCAATTCTAGATAAGGCAATTGATTATATTTGCTGATGGTACTTCTCATAGGCACAGCTCAAAATAATACCATGACACTTATTCAGGAGCTCAGAATGCATTGCATGCAATATATCTGACAGATATCTAGCAGTGCAGCAAATCAAGTTTCAACATGCTTATAAGAAATGATTCAATGAAAGAATAAAAATAGAAGGCCAGGCGTTCTCAGAAAAGTACAATTAAGAAATACATGAAATATCAGACGACTTATGCATCGCAATAATTCAGAATATAAAATTACCGTGGCTTGTATCTCACAGATCTATTACGAGCTCTCCTGGGTTAACATGCTTATTCAGAGAGGCATGGTGAAAATGAATTTTTGATACATTTTATAATTTTAGTTTTCTTTGCTAGATGTTCACATAGATATAGGAATAGATAACTCATAGAACATTCTTCTAGGAGTTAATTTTCTGGTTATCTTCCTTTTCTTAGATCATTTTTCAAGAAAACCCAAAGATATTCAACAGAATTCATGTCTGCATTATATCCAGGTCATGGAAGGACAGGCTGCTAAATATCTTGCAAGATATTTTGAAAATTGTTTTCTAACCAATCATTTTTGAGCCAGAAACTTGTTCTTTTTATTGCTTAGATACTGAGAATTTGTTACTTCTTTAAGATACTGGACATCTTCCATTAAATATTAATAAATTGCCAATTCCATGCACATAATGCCCAAAACCATTATTTCAGCTGGTTACTTTACAATGTGTCTTGATTACACATTTTCCACATTACACAGTTTGTTTCCAGCAGTTTGACAAATTATCTCATCACGAAAACAAACCTGAAGGTGAAGTGGAGAATAATTACACAAGTATAAAAAAATTTAAGGAAAGCAGTAAAAAGATTACATCATATATATTAATATTGACTTTTGCTCAATCCAGATGATTTCCTACCCTTTCAAGGGTAATATTTTTTTCCTTTCAATATCTTCTAGAACCAATGCTTATTTCTCACAACTTTCTTTTGACTGCTCGAGCAGATACATCCACATCTATGTTTAATAATGCATTTGTCAACTCACTATTTGTGTAGTGATTTTCAAGACTAATGTGTTGTGTATACAATTTTTTAACACGCCATCAGAGAAAGAGGTTTTACACATGACTAGTAAATTTGCACACTAAGAATGAAAAAATTAGCTGCTTCGCAAAACAAGCATGAGAAACTTTCAGAAACAAAGTGTTACAAAAATGTTTTTATCTAATAATAATTTGGCCACCTCAGTAAGGAAAAATATAACAACTTATATAAATAATGATATTTTACACACTGAATGTCTGTATTTTCTTGTAATAACAGAAAAGGAAGAAAAAATTAAAAGAGGTCCACTTGCAGGGTTTTATTTCCTTTTGGTTCTTTCCAATCATTACATCAGAGGTAGAATGAAGACGCTACTGGCTTCTGTCTTCTACCACCCTTCAATTTATTCCATTTTATATCCATTTGGGTTCTCATCTAATGCTAAGATGTAAACTATATCACAATGCTCTCATGAATAATGTCAAACTGGTTCCACATAGAATCTACTGTCAACCGTATTATCTTCAACCCACCAAAGATAAGCATTTCTTCCAATAAATCTTGCTTCAATTAACATAATGTGACATAAACTTTGTGGCTTTGATGGTGCAACGATTATCGTATGAGGCTACTATACCCAAATTCACCAATTCAAACCCCATTGAAGCCATCGGTTTTTAAAGGCAAGAAAATCCTTAATATGCCTTCCTTCGGGCAGGAAGTAACGCCTACATTGTACATTTACTGCATGGGGAAGCCTAAAAGAAGCCTCTGAGATACATTCAATAATCTCCTGTTTTATCAACGGGGTAATACCTTCTTCCTCCTCCAAGTGGAGAAAGGAGTGTAGTCAAATTTGCATGGTCAGACACACAAGCAGCCCTCATGGCCCAAGTCTCACCACTTAAAATAAGGCTTCATTGAATTGACAAGCTACCACCTGGCACATGGATGCATCAAGGATGTATAGTACAAAAGGGAAAGCCTGCCCAGACTCCGACAATCAGCAACAACCCATCTGCTTGGGAACTGTGAGGATAGGACATACCCTTGGGACCTTGACAAAATTAATTTTTAAGATGTGTAGATGTGTGTAAAAATGCCTAAAGACCACTGAGCAAGATTCTGTACAAAGAGTACAATGCCAATTTTTTTTTTTAAATTAAAAAGTCACCTGAAAATTCAAGGTACATGTACACGGACTTCTTATAAAACACAAATTTTAACATAAAAATATATAATTAACACAAAAATGTTGATTGATAAATGAAATGAATACAATGTGATTTATAGGAACAGGTGTTTTATTTTGATTTCTCAGATACCATGTATCTGAGAGATACAGCACAACCAATGGAGATTAAATGAAATGTAACATGCATAAAACAAAATGAAACACAAACCTTGGCCACAATTGTAGTGTCATTGGACAGGGGGCTGTCAGCTGGTCTCTTCTTGCCAACCAGCGTAGGAATAGCACGTTCTGAAAAGACAGAAAAAAAAGAGTCTAAATTAAATTGAATTGAAGAGAAGAATGAATATTTCTCATTTCTTTCTCTCTTTTGCTTTGTTTGTTTTTAATTTCGTATCAGTTAATAATAAAAGATCTTTAAATAAATATCATTCTAAAGATGTAAGAGTTCCCCAATTCTTTGAGCAGAACAGAAAAGCAACTGAAGTGATGATGACAGGATTGAAGATTTGAAGAGAGGATCAGTAAAAATTGAGAAAGGGCAAAAGAATATAACAAAGAAGGGGAAGGAGTCAAGGAGGAGGGTAAGTGAAAATACGAATCAAAACATGATAACTTACCCACAGAACATGCATGTGGAATTTAAGTTCTCAAAATGACCATATCTTCCCAGAATCATAAGCTAAATATCAGTTAAAATATATTATTTGCATGTTTTTAAAAGAAAATATCTTACTCACCGCGACGCACAAAATTCAGCTCTGGTAATTCGGGTAGCCCAGTGGAAGTTTTTGTTTTGTTCTGAGAATTGGCACCTGTATTTTTCAATGTCAATTTTATTTGTTGTTTCTGCCCTGAAAGCTGATAAACATCCCAGATTAATAAAACTGAGCAAAAGCAAAATATATGATTACAACAGAAATTCAAAATGATGGCAAAGACATTATAAAATGCTGAGGAATTTTATGACATATTGAGATGAGCTACATACATCTCAAAAATGAATATTATAAAAATTTTAAATATGTAAATAGAAAATAGATTGAGAAAGAAAACAATGTAGCCATGATGTAAATTATATGTTGTAGAACACAAGAATATAGAAAAAAAATACAGAAGACAAGACAGAAGCGCAATACAAAATCATTAAATGAAAGATTTATTTAAATTTGGATAATGTGGTACATAAGAAACATTAATTAAAGTGATTTACATAAGAACAATGAAATATCAGACTAGAAAAGCTACTAGCAAATGTTAGGGCAGGATTTTTTTATAAAAAGTAATAACTGGTGTGAAAACCACAAAAAAGAAACACTCAATCACGCAAGCGCAGTAACCTAAGAAAGAGCGTATCAGAAGCTTCAGCAATTGCACATTGTTGTCACCTAAAATTAAGAAATAAATGAATCGTGAGCCTCGAATGTTGTGGTCAATCAACCGTGTGAAGTTATTGTGTTTTACAGTGCACTGAGTGTGCGGAATTTGATTTGTGTTGTTATTGTTATAATTATTTTAAACCTTGCATGTTATAATTTTATTATTGCTAATCTGTTATCAATTCTTATTGCCTATTGGTATAGTTGGAAACTTGTTTAAATGTGCGTGATTACTTGAGAATGAATAGTGGATCCGTGTTACACCTTTTCAAAAGTAGTACAACGAACAGAAGATGCTCTTAATTGGTACATAAATACAGTGAAATTTGGGAAAAAGAAGAAGGAAAAATCACTATATTATTTGTTGTTAGAGGAATGTTCCCAAATATATATTTACTAAGTTTGTTATTTTGCCATATAACATTATAGTTTGGGAATAATTGGCAAAGAATCAGAAAAGGTAAGTTTCGTATTTATTATCTTTCTTTCACTTGTTATGAGTTTCTCAAGATTCCTTTCTTGCTTGCCCAGTTATTGTTGAGAGCATGTGGTATATCATGCAGTTGCGGCATCGCCTACTCCCCTCCACACTCAAATGTCAACTACATTATAATTTTATTCGTACTGTAAAATGTAAAAACATTTGTGCTTTTGAGTAGTTTTAGATTTATTATTGTTATAATTGTTTAAAGCCTTTCTTAGCATCTATGATTGCTGTTTCATTATCATTTATTTCTATTTTGTTATGTTTGTTATTGCCTATTGGTATTGTTTCGTATGCTGGGACTTCTGACATATCAAAAGAAAGTGATAAATGCGGCCGATGCCGCTCGAGGAAGGAAATATGAAAACCAGTCGAGGCGTCCCTTTGAAAGGACAACCCTGCGAAAACTGTGTAAATGTTAGTGATTACTGAGAAAGAATGAGAGAACAATGGTGGATGGACCGTTGTTGCACCTTTCAAAACTAATACAATGAACACCTGATACTGTGAATGAAGTTTGGGAAAGAGAAGCAGCATAAAAAAAAAACACTGCATTTCTTGTTGACAGTGTAGTGTTTTCAAACACGCACGCACACACAGTTTATACTTTGCCTTGTTAGTGTGGATCGCACAGTATGCGGCAACGCCCCTCCCTCCACACCGAAAAATCTTTACTATTATAATTTTGGAGGTACTTAACAAGACGCCCTTGGGACATTTGCAAAAAAATGCTCCAATATTTTTGATAAAACTTTATTGGATAACGTGAAAGACATTGAGTATTGAGAGAAAGAGAAGTATTGAGAGAATGGCGCAAGGCTCATGCTCGTTAAAAAACTTAATTTTTCGAAAACTGAAAAAATCCAAAATTTTTTCGACGTCTTACTACAACTGCAATTATGGAGGTAACATTTTTCTTAATGAAATGGGTTTATCAAAAACAAATATAAAAATAATGTTATGCGCAAGTTTTCGAAAATGTTAGTATTTTGCACGAAATTGTTTCAAATATAGGGAATTGTTATTTCCTTTCAACAATTGTGATGTAAAAACGTCGGGCACTGGAGAGTCTCTCCCCCACCTTAGCGTAAAGGACGCTTAGTGTAAGAATGGCACAGGTCTCTTGTTCGTTGAAATTACAGATTTTTGAAAGTTAAAAAAATCTGTCTTCCTACAACTGTGAAGATACGATTTTTTTCTGAATGAAATGTGTTCATCAAAATCAGATCTTCAAATAAGGTCATGTTGAATTTTGCGAAAATATGTGTATTATAGCCCCGCTCCGAATTTACTGCACTTCATGAACGTACTAAAAAGAATGGTGATGCTGGGCTATGTAAGTTAGAATTTGTATATTATTTCATTTTTTTGTTCGTTTCTTCCATGCATGGTTTTGTTATACGTTTTAAAATTAATCTTTTAGAAACTATTTAAACACCACTTTAAATTGCGTACTTTAATTGAAGTAAATGTGAAAACGAATAGACTTCGCTTTATTGAAAATGTGGGGATCAAGAATAATGCATGTAAAAACAGTCATTCTTATGATATTTTTCTATCCATTTTCATTTTTTCGCTAGCGGTATCAACAATGCTAATTGGCAAAATGTGTATCCCATTCGAATTTGCAGTTATTGTTGCTTGTAAAGTCATTGTTGTAACGCCGCACTGTTAACAGCCGCACTGTTAACAAAGGCGACAATGACTGCTGCCTCTCGTTCGCGATAATATATACCAATAATTTTATTTACGGCTAAAATACGCATCGTGCATCATTGGCACATTTACTTAGAACGTGAATTCACTGAATTTAATGGAAGAAAGTCGTTTTGGTTTAAGCATTTAATTTTTTTAAATGTTTTTTTTTTCACGTTTTTTTAAGAATTTTTCAAATGGTAGTTGAGGTGTAAGACAGAAACTGCCATATAATATTACATGGCCATTAACAATACGCGAGAAAGTACGTGCTGTTGTAGCACCTGTAGTTCGTTACTAGTGACAGTTATGGTTTTCTCTCTGGCTGGGCGGTATACGCCTATTGGCGCTCTTCCGTCGGGGGTAAGGTGGTAGAGTGCTTTTAAGGAAGAGTCATGCCTCATTTGCATAGCAGATGTGACCTTGAAAAACTATTAATTGTTTGATTATTTATTTGATTTGATTCTACATATTCTTGCAGAGCAACTTGATTATGAGCTTGTAATGGGTATAGGTTGTTTTGTAAGGATAGTTATACAGAGATTGAGTGAAGAATTTATAGTTCTGAAATTTGCTGTTTAAGTGGTGACAATTTCTATGGTGGGATAAAAAATCGGGCATCTGTAGGGAGATGTTTGCGGCCAAGTATTGGTCGTTCTAATATCGATAATTAAGAGATCAAAAGGGGATTATTGTAAATTTCTTCAATGTAGTATAAACGATGAAATGGGAGCTGTATTGTTTTATAGAAGATAATTTTCGAATGAAATTCCAAATGTAGGTTTACATGCTACTCTGATGAAGCGATTTTCTGATCTTGATAGATACTTTATGTATTTTGCTGCAGTTGCCCAGGTCATGCTCGAGGAAGTCCCAGCGCTATGATTGCACTTCATGTACAGAAGAATTTTAGTTTTGATTTTAATTGATGCTTGTAGTGGGTATAGTCTACCCGACCTCTTTGGCTGCATTTTTACATTGGTTTGTGCATATCAGTTTATTATCAAATTCTATGCCGAGGTATCTTATGTTCGTCCAAAGAGATCATTTTGCCATTTCTATGGATCGGATTTGGTGGTGTCTCAAGTCTCCAGCTAAATATAGTCTGGCATTAGTCAGCATTAATAGTGAGTTCATTTAGTTTGCTCCAGTCAAAGCCTGCCAGCATGCCTTATAGGCATGGCACTTCGCCGATCCGTATGGAAGATAGCGAACAGACATTTCACATTGGGGCTGCTGAAGCACTGGACGCCCACCGTTCGCCAAACCTTCGGGCCCCTTTAATACATGGGGAAATGTGCACACTTCGGGCAATTTTGGTCACTTACCGTGATATGAGGCATTGCCAACTCATTTTGATGGTAATACTAAACAATAATAAAAGTATATATCTCTGTGCAGTTTGCTTACAAGAAATTGTGAAGGGAAAACTTAAATTAACCCTCAAATAGGCGTGCGTGAAATTTATCTGGTTAGTGATGCAGTCATTATGTTTGACGTATAAAATACAATATTTAATCTTAATTATTTGTGATATTTACAATAATTATTTAATTATTTCTGATAATAATATAATTAGTTTTCAGATTTTATAGAGTATTATAATGCACATTATGCCTTTAAACGTTTTAAAGACAATGCATGAAAACTATAAAAAATAGCAAAGTATTACTTGATAAGTTTTGATTCCATCTATTTTTATATTTCCTAACTGTATTGATTCTGAAACTATATTACACACTCAAAAACAACAAATTCAAAATAGTGTGTATTGAAGAAAAAATCACTAAGTACCTGGAAGAAATGAACGACGGACGCTGATATATATAACACCCCGGAAAATTCACTCATCAAAAAGCACTCCAAATCACTATTGCCCTGGCAAAAACGTTGTCGCCTAGAGATACAGACAGAAAGTTACTTGCAACTAACGAAATTCATATTTGCGCTCACGTGGACGTACACGGAGAGATTTTCATTAAGATAAACTGATTATAAATTATTTCTAATCCTTTGCGTATGCCGCTTACAAATTTCACAATGCTATAGCAATATATCAGACATCAGAAATAAAAATCAACAATCAGACATCTCGTGATTTACAATGACGATTGTGAGAAAATATATCACTTTTGATTGCACTGTTACAATACGAGAAACATCCAAAGCTGTATTAGTCTATCATTCCCAGTACTTGAGCCATTGTGTTCTCATTGAACATAAACAATGAGCACATGGCATGGCAACTATGGAGGAGACGACGGATGCATTTTGGCAGGAATTTGTAACATTTTTCTAGGATTTTATTATTTACATTGTCGAAGACTGGCAAAAAGTCAATATTGCTGGAAGGGCACAGTGAAGAAAGAGTAGATATGTCTAAAGCTAAACGGAAGGTTTGGATTGCCAACGAGTGACCTTTACGAAAGCCGAACTGTGTGTAGGGGATGACATTTGCTTCTAATTTTTATGTGATTTTTGGTAGGAGAAATGTTAGGACAATCAAGCTATCTATTTAATATATTTAATTATATTACGCCCACTTGTGCGCACATATTCCTCCTAGGCGCGCTTCAGTACGAATTACTTTATTGTAATCAAAATGTATGCATTTATGCTCCACATTTGAGCCCTCGCCAACAGCTCTTCCTGACCGGATGGAAAATTAGATACTGCGGCTGAGCCAGGCTTTCCCAGAAATTCAATTGCTTCGCTTACACAACTTTCAACCGCCCTGCTCCTAGAATTCACCCATGGATTCTGGCATTAAAAATTCGCGCTGCAGACATATAATTTACTTAATAGATTAGAGATACCTTACTTCCAATTTCATCGCTATTCGTGCCCGTCACAACGCGCTCGCTTATTGGCTAATATCGAGTCAAAATGCATGTGGTGTACGCACCTCCGTGCTTCGCCGTCTGGCACTCACGCTGCAATATTTTCACATCTTAAGCATACGTGTGTAAGATTGCTTTAACATGATTATTCTAATAGTTCAGCGCATTCTATAATGGTGTTAATTACCCGACCATGAAACATTTACATTTCAGAAAATATCTATGTGCTTGCTGCAGAACTGTTGATTTGTTATTGGCATTCTTGTATATTGCACAATGCACTGTATTTAATGTTTGTGCTTAACCAGAGGTTGTACAACTTCTCATTTCATTGAGCATGTGCGCTTATCATACCAGCCACTTCTGCTAGCATGGCAATAAACAGTGCATCGTTGATGTGAATGTTTTGAACTACACTGCGATTCAGCCAATCTCGCGACAGGCAACATCATGCATTCCTGAGGGTTCGTCAGGCGTCGCAGTACTCTTCTCAGCCTGCGGATCTCCCCCGCTGACTCCTGTCACACCTGAGCCACATCCGCAGCCTCGGTTCGCACAAGTGCCTATCGCGCTGTGAACTCAACGCCATCTCCAGACGTTGAACATAACAATCATGTCTTTTCTTACAGCATTACGTGCCAATTCTACTGTATTTTTTACATTTGCTTATGCCATATTCATAAACTGACAATCTCAAACGTATCTTAGTAATCCAATTATGGCATATATTGCTCAAGTTTAATCGCACCATCTGTGTATTCATTCAATTCCACGATTTATGCCTTCATGGGGCATTGCAATTCTGCCAACCTTTTTTTTTTTGTAATATTTACATAGTTTAATTGTATGTATCAAGTTCAAGTGTTTACTGATTTTTCCTGAGTAATGGCAACAATTCCCGAAAATCCCCTATTTCAGAAGAAAACGGGATGAACCTTCCCGCTCAAAACTGGTACAGGTCCTTCGTGCACAAGGCACGCTATTAGAAGGAATGCTGGAAATAGTATGAAAATTAGGTCATGCCTAAAAAACAGTCCGCTGCTCACAAACCAACTTCAACAAGTACTCTTTAGAAGATTTTTAATAAATAAGGCACTAACTTATTGGACGATAATTTTGTGGGTCCTTTGTTTTTATATGGTTTCCTAAGTATAATGATGGTTGATTCCTTCCATAGAGAAGGGAAGTAATCAATTTGTAAACACTCATTCATATTCGTAAGATGTGCGGGGACAGGTTTAAGCACTTTTTGGACTTTCCTAATGTCCATCATGTCTTTGACATCCGCTGTTTCAAGAAATGTCTACCACTCCACTGCAAAATAAGTGGCAAACGTCTCTTCGAATGCGTTGAAAGATTGATTTATCGGGTGTCGGATTGATTTAAATTTTCTTTGTGCTGTTCTTTCTTAGATTAGTTGTAGGATGTGTAAAGGTAGTGTTGTCCGTCTTGGTCTTGTTTCGGTTGTGGCTAATGTATAAGCGACTCTGATGTGACAGTTTAGTTTTTCTAGTTTGTCTTCATTTCTTCAGGGGTATTTGGGTTTATATTAGACACTTTCACTTTATGGGCCACTCTTTTATTTGTACTTCCAGTCTGTGGAAAATTTTGGGCAGGTGTGGAGGAAATACGGGAAGGTACCAAATACATTGCAAAGATAGGAAGGTGGTCAGAGTGGAGTTCATGTAGAGATCGGGGCTTAGTGGGTTGAAGTGACGTGGAGTGAATGACAAAATCAAGTATTTGGTAGTGAATGTGCCTGAATAAATTTGTAGGGCCGAAGGGTAGGGGAAGAAGTGCGACTGATGGATGGTTTTCAGTATAGTGGTACAGAGTATCGCCTGCTGTCGAATTGTAACGGTAGCCCCATTCTAAACATTTTGCATTTAGACCACCACCCATTACACTTGTAGTCTGAAGGTAGAAAGGCGTATAAATCGTCGGAAGTTAGTTTTTGGTGGACTTTTGATGACTGACACAAAGGAGACAGGTCCTGTGGCTTTTTTCTTGTTCTATTGTGGCCTCCAAGGGCCGGTTTCACCAAACAAAGAGTAAGAGTTTACTCTGGAGTAAATCATGTTTACTCGAGAGTAACTTCTTGGTACTCGAGTCCGTCGTTCACACAAGAATAACACTATCTATACACTGGGAAATCGTAATCACAGTTGTGGTTGCCATGTATACACTAAAGATATTTACACTGAAGTTACTAGAGCCCGACAATAAGTTTTTCTGTTGGAAATTCGCTGTTTTCCGGCTCACGATTACTTTATATTTTCTTCCTAAGGTCGAGAAAGTAAAACATCGACGTTTTAGAGTTAATGGGTGAAGACAGAGTTCATGGTATAATTTAAAAAAGGATGGTCTGAAAAAAGGCATATTGAACGTTCTAGTGTTAAATGTGTAGAGACTGTCACTTGTGGCATTCAGCAAATACAGCAATCCCTAGAAAAGATTACACCAAGATTTGTCAAAAGCTTTTTAACCAACCTTCAAGGCATCCATTGCTTTTACTTTCAAAGATTCAGCTGCCAGGGCCAGTCTTCCTCTCTCATCCATCATAGATCTCTTTGGTGGACATACTGTTAAAAAGAAAATTAGGACCTGTTTTATTTCAAAATTAACAGTATTCTTAAAAACATTAACAAACATTAAAAATATCTCTATCACTAGTTTAGGTTGAGAGGAATTTATCTGCACCCAGTGAGAGTAAGCCTATGACCATATAATCAAACAGTAACGCGATGACTAAATATGATTTCTTATGAAAACATTAATTCAGAAACACAGAGATATAGCTCAAAAACTTCGGAAAAAAAAGAAAAAGAAAAAAAAAAGAAAAAAAAAAAGAAAAAAAAAATCCAGAGCTGGCTTGACTTAATGAATGGTCCCTCGCTATCCATGCAATGCGGTCGTTCTCTACAAACATGCCTGTGAAACCCAATTGGCTCCTCCCCTTCATGCTACTGGGCAATTACCTTTAGTATTCCTGTGTATACAATAGTCGTCCTGCTGTTGTTACCCTCGAAACTGGCATAACTACCAGTTCAAAGTGATTATAATTGATTATAATCTGATTATAACAGATTCATTGCCCAAAATAGTTTTACATGTGATATTGTTCTATGTTTTGTTCACTTTCCCAGTACTTCTTACATAAATAAGCGCACTACTAGGCTAAACAATGTTGGTACAAATTCAGCACCCCCAAGGGGCGCAGAGAGGACCACAGAGAGAGTATAACTTAAGCATGGAGCCTGAATACACTCGAGCATGTCAGTTTCTCTATTGTACTTTGCAAACAGTAAAATCTCTTTAAATACAGCAAATCTAACAAAGTAACAGAACTGAATCCAGGCACACCTGAAAAATCATGCAAGAACCGCCTGCCTCCAGGGTATGAGCAAGTCCTTTTTGCCAAATAATCATGAAGAGGTGGTAGAACATTATAGCATTTCTCTCAACAAATCAATTCTCGGCGTTTTGGCTACACTAGCTTTGGCAGACTTCGTAGTCTTCAACACTCGGGAACAGTTGAGCCGGGCTGGGTTAGACCTCAGTTTGTCTGAACAATAACAGGAGGTCCCAGCTCTTTAGGAGAAATAAGGGCCGCAGAAAGTGTACACTATTTTTCACGCATGTGCGGTCTAGATTTTTGCGAGATGCATGCGTTAATTTTCTTAGCTACAAGGAACCTGTCGCTACTCTAAAGGACACACAAAATACGGTTTGTAAAGAAACCATAAAGTGTATTTTTACTTTCACTTTTTAAAATGTCTACTCTCAAATGACCATTTTGGTCGAACATTCTTCCACATAAAAAAAATTGTTGAATTTTCTTAATATCAAGATAAAAATATGTAATAATTAGCTAGAAGTGCATTACCTTTAGGAGATGGTTCTCTGCTACTAGAAGAGGAAGAACAACTGGACTCTGATGAATCACTACTGGATCCACTTGAATCAGATCCAGATGAAGACCGGGAAGATTTTGACCTACAAAAGAATTCAATGTCACATCTTCCCGCACTTTGACATATTCCCGTATGTTTTCAAACCTAAAAGAAACGAAAGTGAACAAGCAAACTTCATATAATATCCCTGAAGTACAGCCCTGGACAGGACAGCGATATGTCGGTCGAAACGTCGGCACCTCAGCCTTCAACGCGGCGTCACTCGGACAGCCCAGATCAAAACTTCAAATAATTCAGGCGCTTGGATAAAGAACAAATGAACTAATTTCATATTCTTGCAATGCTTGCTTCATACTGGCCAAAAAAGTGCTCAGAAATTCACTTGCGCAAGCGAAATTGCGAGTGTAAATGCCCAGGCCAATTTCCTTTCTCTGTCGTGGTAAGTGCTGGCAACTGCTCTGTGAGGCCCGCAAGCACTGTCCAAGGCTATTTGTTGAAGATGTCCCAGTGGTTGCTCGACATAAAATTCGAGCCAAGAGCTAATACGTTTGTTCAACGTTGGGTGGTATGATTTAACTGAGAAAGTACTCCAGAGCAATTGCTCACGAGAACAAGTAGTAACTACTACTCTCATAAACAATTGCTTATTTTCGCTTGAATAAAGTGTTTCGTGAAACACTATATTATGCCCGGAATATCTAGCAAGAAAGGTTTAATGTTGCAGTGTTTACAGTGGCAACTATAATATTACTCGTCATTTTCTTAAAAGTGTAAAACCAAAATAACACAAACTATTTGGTGTTAATGAACCAAATTATCGTAAGTTCGAAATATAAATCTCCTATTAAATATTCCAGGAAAATTCCATTTGACAGTTTTTTACATTCCTCATTGCAAAAAGTTACTAATGATTGGGGATGTGATTTATATGCAATAAAAACAGTGAAAAATGCGCATATATATGTAAATATATTTGGTAATATATGCAATTAAAAAAGGAAAATATGTGAAATACTGTAATGCAATGTGTAAGTGTAAAAATAAAAAGTGTTATGGAACAAATGTTTACAGAAAAAAAACAACAACAGAAATCATAAAAATTGTTACAAGCTACAAACATTAAGTCACATGCTTAATTTTGAAGAACACTTATTCCTTAGGAAAATTATGGGAGATGCAATTAACGTAAATTTCACAAAATTAAAAAAAAATTAGGTATTGCAACCAAAATATGACTTCCCAATTCACGACAAATACACGGGGATTACTCTTAACACCACTCCACGTTTGCGCCGTGTGTGAGCACGCATGGGTGCTCGGGGGATGCTCATTACATTTCGACTGATACTGCCGCTGATAGGTCTTCGCGTGCTTCTCGAGCGACTTCATACGAGTCAGGAGAACGGCAACGCTGATTCGTGGCTAGGACAACGTAAACAAATCCTCGGAAGCCCATTCCTTCAGAGCAGGTCACATCATGTACCTTAGCAAGTGACGAGAGAACTGTTAGAGGCGCTTACACGCCAACGGAACTAACTTTTGGGCTTATTTCGCGGACGAGGGGTGAATATGCTACAAAAATATGCAATTATGGTGATATATACGAAAATATGAGAAATAAAAAAACAGCTTAGATTCTAAATGTCTCAAAACGTATACAATTTGTTGAAAGGGGATGTTTTAGTTAACAGAAAAAATGCAAATTCATATCAATGACAGCCCTATAATAATGAACATTATATGACTTGACTATGAACTAATGTGAATTGGATATACATTATAATAATTAACATCTTATTTTCGATGTGCATCCTTACTGCTCCAAATTTTAAGATGACCCAACTTTTGAAGCCATTTTCAGACAAATTGATTATTGTGGCTTGCTTGCCTCCTACGTAATCACTTAGACATTGGGTCATATGAATAAAAATGAGCACTTGGTCAGGAGTACTTGCTCCGGAGCAAAGTGAGTCTGTTCCGTGGCACTGAGCAGAAGCTCCATTTCGTATGAATAAAAACTTCGTATGTCTCCGAAGAACTTACTCATGTCTCTCGAGCATTTGCTCAAAGTGAACAAGTGATAGTGCAGGCTAAGAGTTTTAAACATTAGTTTCTTGAATAACAAAGAGGTTATATACGTTTCGCGCGTCGCGCACATTAGTGCGGAATAAAGAGCAATGTTTGGTTGTCTCGTTCTTTAAATTCGAATATGAGTAGCAGTAACGAAAACAGGCGCCAGAGGCCCAGCTAGTTTTTGCCCAAATGCTAAGCGAATATAAAATTATTTTTGAAAAAAGCCAGCTTCCGGAGGTACGCCGTGGTCGAAACGAAACATTTCAAAATTTGAAAAAACAGTAGACAGAAAAATTCCAAGTAGAAAAGAGAGATGGCCAATTAACATAGAAGATATGCAATATGAAAACGTGCCTGAAAGCAAATGCCGATAAAAATCGTACTAACCATACATTGTCCTTTTCGAATCGGCAAAGATTCTAATAGCCTACATCACGAGAATTTCGCCTTCTCTAGTATTTTTTTTAGTCCGTTGCATCAGCATAGCAACACACGGTAAAAATATCGGCCAATTTAACCTTACTTTTCAAACGTGAGTCTGCTACTACGGTCCCTCCGAAATTTTGGAGCAAGTGCTCACTGTAGAGAGTAAACGCTTAACTTTATTCATACCAATTCTGAGCATTTGCTCGCCAGTTGAGAGTACGCTCAGAGACCGAGCAATTGCTCACCCACTTTATTCATACGAAACTGAGAAGGATCTCCTAAACTCGGAGCAAAGAGTATTTGCTAACTTTTATTCATACCACACAATATGAAAAGTATCTCAATTGTTTTAACAATCGTGACCGGCAGTAAGAGTATTTTCTCGGGCAACTGACGTTATTTTTTCAAATTAATGACGTCGTCTTCGGTTATAGTGACTCTGATATTGTAAACCCTCGGTTACAGAAAAGTTAAGTCACTGGTCCAGTTACAATTACATTTCAAATAAGCATAAGAAGACTCAGTAATAGTGAACGTAGGAAATACAACACACTGGAAATGAATTCCCTACTGGAAAAGAATATATCGGCCCAGTGTCACAAATTCCAAAATTAGGCAGCTTGAAAAAATGTCTGCCAAAGGCCATTATAGTATTGCCTCTGAATTGAAAAGAAATTGATTTTTAAGGACAAATAAATATGTTGAAATTTTCAGTTCATGTTAATGGATTTTGCTATATCTCTATATTAATAAAATCAATCGTTATGGAGAAATTGTTTAATTTTATTATCCTTGGATATAGTGAATCAAAAATATTAGTCCCCAGAAGTTCACTATAACTGGAGTCGACTGTATTTCCTACGTTCACTATAGCCGAGGTTTTGGTTCACTATAACAGAATCTTCTTATGGCACTATAAACAGAGTCGACTGTACAAGGTCATACAAAAAAATATATCGCCTCAGTGCCACAAATTCGAACACTAGGCAGCTTGAAAAAATATCGTCGGCCAAAGTCATAAGCGAAAAAGTCTCCCCTGAGGTGAAGCTAGCTGACCTTATGCCACTCAGTTTCATAGTGGAAACAAAGGCCGAATCCAACTGGCGGCCACGATGCGCGTTTGCTTACAGTCAGTCTATAAATTACGTAACGCAAATACGGAGTTTTTTAAATACCCCCTCTACCGCACCCGTAACGCGCGATTGAAACCCCTAAATAATCACGTAATGCTTGCGACCCCTCCCCCGCCCGTCAGGGGGCGGTTCGAGACAATGATTTGGAGAGGGGGGGCATCGCAGATTTTTGTTAAAAAATTACCTTTGTTATTATATTGTGTATTATTTATGTGCTGTGATTCAACGCAATATTATTGTTTAAATAACTAGAAAAATGTGGCGTCGCCGAAGCTGTACACCGTTTTAAAAATAGTTTCATGTGTTGAATATTTATTTCTTGTCCAGCTTTGTTCAAATATGTTCTTTCAGTATCTGGCATTGGACTTACCAGTGAATCGTAGATGATTTTATACTCCCGTTTAAAAGTTCCCCCCACCCAATAGACTTTAATGTTACCTTCATACGGGATATGAACAGGTCTTATTGCAATTTCAAAATTATAATCGCCGTAAAAATTAATTGTAGGTTTTGATGATGCTAATGGTTAAATTTTAGTTCAGCTAAAGGTTTTGGCTATTTTGCTAATATGAACACAAATGCGCGCCTCTCTCTCGCTCTCTTCTCTCGCTCTCTCTCGCCTACTCTCTCGCTCTCTCTCGCTCGCTCTACTTCGGCTTCGCCTTCTCTCTTCTCGCTGCTTCTCTCTTCGTCTCTCCCTTTCTCTCATCTGCTGCTCGCTCTCTCCTCGCTCGCTCTCTCTTCTCGTCGTCTCGGCTCTTCTCGCTTCACGCTCGCTCGTCTCTCGCTCGCTCTCGCTCTCTCGCTCGCTCTCTCTCGCTCTCCGCTCGCTCTCGCTCTATCTCTCGCTCTCTCGCTCGCTCTCTCTCCTCGCTCTCGCTTCTCTCTCGCCTCTCTTCTCTCTCATATATTCTCCCTCTCTCCTGCTCTCCTCGCCTCCGTCTCTCTCGCTTCGCTCTCTCTCTCGCTCGCTGGCTCTCGCTCTCTCTCTCCTCTCGCTCGTCCGGTCTCGCCCCCGCTCTCGCCTCTGCGCCTCCGCTCTCGCTCGCGTGTCCTCTCTCTCGCTCCCTCTCGCTGCGGCTCTCTTCTCGTCCCCTCTCGCTCTTCTCGCTCGCTCTCTCGCTCTCTCTCTCTCGCTCGCTCTCGCTCGCTCTCGCACACACACACACACACACACACACACACTGTCTATATCAGGGAGTGGCATGGCTTTCTTCACCGCGGGGCACTGCCCACGGGACACCAAGCGACACCCCACGTCACCCTGAAGTCTCAGTTACAGATCTAGTCTGGCCCATGATCGGAAGTGGTAACTTCCGACCAGCTCTACAAAAACTGCCGGACGAAGCAAGAGTTTTAGGACCTACACGACGGAGACCGTCCCTCCGTACAGTCGGATAGCGGAGTTTTGCCCAACCAGGTACATCCCACCAGAGGATCACTGCCCAAACCGGGACAAGCTCAAAGCTCCCAACCGGTCTCCCGGAAAATGTAGTAGTGTAGTGCATAATAGTGTGTATGTATAAGGAGTGAGGATAGGACAACAAAGGGGGAGAAAAGACGCGTTGCGCGTGGCCCGTTTGTTAAGGTACTGCTCCGTCTTTGCCCGGTATTGATAGCAGAAATCAAGGAAAACTACTGATCAGAGCAGCCAGCCACTAGAATTCTCCTCCAGACAGCGACTGAATTCGACCTAGCTGACAAACTAGTGTCCAAAATCCTGCTACCAACAGGTCTTGGACCTAGGACATCCCGGTCAGAGGCACTGTGGTGACATCAGTTGATGCTCAAAGCCACCTCCCAGTAACATTGCTAAAATATAGATACATTTTCTCACAGAACTCCCCGTTCTTGAACATACAGCCCTGTTAAAAACCACAGTGAATTGCTAGGATAAACAATTTACCTTCTGGATGATGTCGGGGGTGGTGGAGGAGGTGGTGGCGGTGGTGGTGGCGGTGGTGGATTTTGTGCAGACTTCCTCATCATCGCTGGCGAAGGAGGCCTAATTTCTTTCTGTTTTCTTGGCGATGGAGCAGGTGGATTCATAAGCAATGCACGTTCACTTGCAGCCTTTTTCTCTGACTGAATCAAACTTGAAGTCAGTGGCTTATCTAAAAATAAAGAAGGATTTTTTGTACCCGAAATAATTTTAATCCTCAATATTATTTTACATTCACACACTTACTTTTGCCAAATCCTCTGGGTTCACCTAGCTGCTTCGATGACTTTCGTGGTGACATGGACAGCATCTGGGGTGGACTTGACTCCGCAGCTCTTGCAGTGGGAACAAGGGGTCTATTAGGCTTCCTACGAGCATGGGATAAGGGAGTTCGAGAACTGGAACGTGATACTGAGCGGGACATGGAACGGGATTTAGATTGTGACCTAGAGCGGGAACCATGACTGTATGAACTGTAGCTTGACTGGCTTGAACTTCTACTGGAACTGAAAGTGAATTTGTGCTCTTGGGCAATCATCAAAGAAAATTTTTCATTTCAAAATATTAAAGGAAAGTTACAATAAGAAATTATTTAAAATATTACAAAACTCATAACATTGTGAAAAACTAAAACAAACACTCAACATAGTGAAATAAAAAAAATAAAAAAATATATATATGGTCTAACTAGAGCACTGGAGTACAAATCACCAAAAATTCACAATGTACACATGCATTAACATGTTAACTAACACACCAGAAACACAATGACACTGAAAACTTTGCAGTAATGAAGGTTGACTAGCATTTCAGTATAACCGCAATTACAAATATAAATTCGTATTCAAGTTCTCCCATGCAAAAAGCAAACAATAAACACACACACACACACACACACACACACAATTTCTTCAAGTTTATATCCTACAATGTACACCAGCAGTACCTGACCCACATCAGGAAGACAACTCAATATAATGCTTTGTCCTCTCTCACAAAACCAATACACAATCAAATCAGCCCAGAATGGTAATGAAAATCATTCTCTCTAATGAGCAGTTTTCATTATGAAACTATACAGTGAACAAAATTCAATTCTCAGAGATATATAATAACATAATCCTTCTCAAACACATGAAGGAAAACTGAATACATGAAGGATGCTGTCTATTTTTGTCCAATCAACTCTGTTTTCATCAGAAAAAAAAATCACGAGTTGAATTTACGCTATCTTAAGATTTTATAACAGGGTGAATTGTTGAAAGTGATCACGTGTGTGTTCCTAAATATTAGAAACCAAAGGACATGAAAAATGTTTTTTTTTCGCAAATATTCAAGTTTCTATGCATTTCATGTTTTATGATGAATTATGACAAGATTTGACTAAAATAAAATCTGCCTCACATTTGATTCTACACATTTTTTTTCTTCAACCAGTGCTCAATTTATACAATTTTAGGATCCGGAACGTGCCCAAATTAATTATTAATTTAACAGAAATCTTGTAATACTATTTAATCATTATTCCCGAGGTAACGGATTGCCATTCCGTCGCGTTCCTCCAGAAATCAAGTTGTCTACAACTAACGATCTTCGAAATATTTACGATTACAAAAAATAGATTTTTGTGTCACCTGCATATTTTTAATTATTTTCTATTTTTTCTGTTTATTTTATGGGTCAAATATGTGTACTTTTATTTTTTTCTAACGTTATTGTTTTTAGAAACATTGCACGTTGAAATGTGCTAAAAATGAAGCACATTACCACCTCTAAATATTACACACTTGATTACACTTATCATAGAAACTCCTTTCAAATGACATTCGACTCAAAATCATATATTTTATTATTATTCAAAATATTTATTATCCTGAATTTTGAATTTTTTTAATTTAAATTTTGAGACTTGAATATTTTTGTAGACTCAATGAGGTATAATTTAAAAAAAAGCTATAAACCCATTAGAGAAAATTACAAACATCAGAAACAATCGAAGTGGGATCTAAGAAACATTTTTACTACGTGACGTCGCCAAAAACACTATTCTGCACAGAATCAGGGAGGCAGTTTCATTGAGGTTTTTCTTTTTCCTTTTTTAAATTTTTTGTATTGTGCACTTGAACGACAGAAGTAAGTAAACTTCCGACATGTATCACAAATTGGGAAAATCTAATGACTCCTAAATCGAGTTTCATAAGTAAATCGCGGTTTACGCGTCTTAAAGAATTTCTCCTCTTCAAATCGTGTCCAGAAAGATTAAATGGATTTAAACATACGTCGTATTTTGCACGGTAACCGCCGCCGCTCAAGTTGCATTGTATACACACGATTCACAGTGTAAATCTAGCACTCTTCTCTTTACAAGATGCGTATTGCGACTGATGTTCAGAAAAGTGTGCTCATGTCCCTTGGCATGTGATCTGTTGTATTTTACGAGCATGGCTGGAGGGCGCCCTCATCTCTAAGCAAAAGGTCGTAAAATTCGTTTCGCTGAAAAGCAGTACAGTAATCCCTCAACTTTCGCGAGAGTTAGGTTCCCAAATTGCATCGCGAATGTCAAATCCGCGAATGTAGGGTATATTTTAATGAATAAAAGTGGGTTAGGATCCTGGATATCCAAAAACTATTTAAAAAAGAAAGAAAAATATCTGATAATTGCAGTGCATAGAACTGAATAATTAGCATAGACCTGAGGAAGTGCTACTACAAACAGAATTCACAATTAACATCTCAAAGAGAATAAAACAATACTTGAAATTTAATTCAAAGTTGAAAGTGACTGGATATAGAATTCTTATTTTATTTTATTTTAACTTTCGAAGTCCGTGCTCGGATCACATTCGAATGCTCTTTTTGCTTCAGTTACTTTAATCATTACGTTCGTGGAGTTTTTCTAATGATTTCCCGAATCTCCTCTTCAGTGAGGTCATTAGGTAGAGATCCTGAATGGATTTTCTGTTCATGAGGCCAAAACCCTCTAATTTGACGCAACTGAAACGAACTATTATACAATTGTGTAATTCGATTCATGTGAATTGACATTCCAACTTTGACATTTTTGCAGAACGTGATATTTAGAGCTCCGGTGTCTGCCGAGTTCGTTTCTCATCTGACAAAGGAAATTACCTGTGGTCGCATACGACCGAAGTACGACCATAAGTCGCAGTAGTGAATGTTGAAGTCGCGAATGTTAAAACAGGTGGCATTTCTCCAATCGCGAATTCGCGGAAGTGGAGGGATTACTGTAATTTGGAACGCACATGTGAATGTCAAGACAAAAATTTTCATTGGTTATAGGTCCCGGGCGTATAAACTGCCAAGCTCATCAATCCCGTAAGTGTGGTCAATGTTTTATCGCGCTAGGTGACAGGGATCATCCCTCGCTGGATAGCGACATCTGGCGCCAACCTACGTCGGCTTGCGGGGTTTTCCCAAAACCAAGAATCGCCCACCAGCGTGGCACCGCCCCACCCGGGACAAGCTCTAAGCTCCCGACTGGTCTTCCGAATGTGGTAGTGTAGTACATTTAAGTGTACGTGTGTGAAAGTAGAGGCCCCTTCACACGGCGCCAGTGCAGCGCTTGTGAGTGGCATGTCTGGTGGCAAAGCTTTGATTTTCACACAAGTGGCGAAGTCATGCCGATGCGGGACTCAGTGGCAAACTCCAGCAGCTGGCATTTAAAAGATGCCATTTAGAAAAATGGCAGCGTTAACCCTAGACGCGCCACTCAACAGCAGTGTCTCACGAAACCTTCCCCTCTAGCGGTCAGAGGCGGTCGGCGGTGGCTGTTTGAAGGGCTCTGCCTCTTCTCGGCGGTGCTATCGAGTTGCTCCGTGTAAAGGCACCCCTAAGGATGAGGATAGGGCAAGGAAGAGGAAGGAGACAGCCGATGCCAGTTTGTACGGGAACTACCCTGGCATTCAGTTGGTGTTGGTAAAAAAATAAAATAAAAAAAGAAACCAACAGCGGAAAGCTACCGACTAGAGTAGCCGGCCGCGAGACTTCTCCTCCAGACAGCGGGTGAATTCGAGGTAGTTTCGAAAATCCTGCCAACGACGGACTCTCAACACTAGGATCTCCCGGTCAGAAGCACTGCAGTGACATCAGTTGGTGGCCTGCGCCACCTACACCGGTCGAAAATTCAGCTTTTTACTGATTCAGAATTTTACTTATCTATTTACAATGCATTTACAATATTAATCTTTAAATCATTTCATGTAGATTTTTTCGAAATTGAGTCATTTACACAAATTTTAAATTTTAGGCAACGTCAATCGGACTATTTAATATTAATATATTTAGTTTACTGGGAGATTTGTCTTACTTCAGTGCTCTAGGTTCGCGTCCCAGCCCAGCCAAATGTTGTGTGTGTTGGAAACGTATCGTATTTTCAAACACTTGTAATCAGCTCCCAAAAGCAACAGAAATGACAGAAGTTAAGGTTTCGAGACTCGCCTATATCTTTTAATAATATAAGCAGTGACGCGAACAATACAATATAAGTGAGCTGCTGCAATCAATGGCTTAGCGGAATAGTATATTTCGCAGAATTGGCAAGAAAGGCACGACACGGAATCGTGCGAGAAGGCACTGATATGGAACAATATATATCCATGTGTTAAAAAAATGTCGATATTTATTCTGCAACTAACCGTTTTATTTTACTTTCACACACTTAAGAAGAAAGTTATGTAATCATATTCCGCAATTTCCGAAAGACTCTTCTTGCTGGGACCTGAAAACGAAAAGGTGGATAAATCCTATTCCTACATGTAGTAAATTACTCACGTGGTATAGACAGAGTCCATGTTTTGTGAGAACGCGATACTGAAAAATCTATTAACTCCAAAATGCCTGTCCATCTGTGGTCAACGCTGGCGCCTAAACCGTTCAGCCGGTTTTCTCCGAAACTAGTATTCCCCAAACGATCTGAATGAGCGCGCGGCTTTGGGAGTTTCAAACAGATATTTTGATTTTTGAAGGTACTTTATATGCTTCAAAAACATTTTCAAAGTGGCAGCAATTTCTTTGATTAAACTTCGTCCTCTAATTGCGTAAAAGACGCTTAAGAAAATGGTGCAGGTCTTATGTTGAAATCCCACAATTTTCAAAAATTGCGAAAGTGCATTTTTTGCACCTACAACTGTAATGTTGAGGATACAGATTTTTGTCTTCATGTGATCAGATCAATGTCTTGACCTGATCAATGTTTCAAAAATCGGTGTCGTTTTCGCGTAATTTTGCGCCAAATTGAGGGAAGTTTAACTTTTTAACAATTCTTATTCTCAATAACAGCACAATTTTTTTCCTTTACGTTTTCTTCTTGTATACATCGTGTTGTTACATGGTACGTTGGTACGTGTAGGTACATGGGCTGCCAAATTCATTCAAATTTGACACCACGCTTCGAATCTCTGTTTCGCTACTCTTTGAAGGCATTTAAGAAGAAAAGATAATACATTGCAAACTTCCCAATTTTTTACTAAAACTCCAATTT